GTGAGCCTCAAGCAGATAGCTTCTCCCCGGTGAGCCTCAGTTTCCTCATCTGCAAGGTGGGCTGATCATTCAGATCCTGATGAGATGAAAGGATATGCTTTTAGTCTTCACCCAGTGTTCCTGGAGCATCTCCTCCATGGTTGGCACCAGAGGAGGAACGAGGGAGCTGTGGTCACAGGATGGCCTGGCAGGGGAAGGTGTGGCCTGAACCAGACCCGTGTCTCAGCAGCTGGCTAGCTCTGAGGTTGAACAGACCTGAGTAGCCTCACCCCTTTCCTGTGCTACTCAGAGCAGGCTCGGACATAGGAACTGCTTATTCTTTTTTAAAATAATTTTTAAATAAATATATTTATGTGGCTGTGTCAGGTCTGAGTTGCAGCTCGTGGGTTGGGTCGTGCAGGATCTTTTGTTGTGACGCGCGGGCTTTGCAGCTCCACAGCACGTGGGATCTTCGTTCCGCACCCAGGGATTGAACCCCATCTCCTGCATTGTGGGGTGGATTCTTAGCCACTGGACCACTAGGGAAGTCCCAGGAATTGCTTATTCTTGAACATCTGCCCTCAATCCAGGGCCTTCTGTAGCCCTGATGGGAGGGGCCATTAACTGAAAAGCAATCAAGAGGATATTAGGCATTTATTCATGAGTAGTAATGTTCTGAAATGAATGGGAAATGTATGCAAGCTCAGTTGCACCAGGGCCCACCTCCCATGAAGAGCTGGGGGCAGGCAAAGGCGTCTGTGGGCCTTGCTCAGTGGTACTGATTGTCCCAATGATGTCCATCATCTCTGAAGTTCGGCAGGGTCATGGTGCCCACCCTCACAGCCAGGCTTCACAGGGTACATGGCAAGGGAAGGACAGAGCCGAGATCTGAACCCACGCGTCTGCTTCCCAAAGCCTGGATTCTTATCCTCCCGGGTTACAAACAGTAGAAATTCCAGCATTTTTGCATGATCCTATCCTGGCTTTTCTAATAAGCCTTCATAAATTTGAGTCACCAGTACTTACAGGAAAAGAAATAAAAAGGAATCCAAACTGGAAAAGAAGAAGTGAAACTGTCAATGTTTGCAGATGGCATGATACTATACGTGGAAAATCCTACAGACGCTACCAGAAAACTACTAGACTTTATCAATGAATTCAGTAAACTTGCAGATACAAAATTAACACCCAGAAATCTCTTGCATTCCTATACACTGACAACAAAAGATCAGAAAGAGAAATTAAGGGAACAATCCCATTTACCATCACATCAAAAAGAATGAAATACCTAGCAATGAACCTACCTAAGGAGACAGAAGCCCTCTACTCTGAAAACTATGACATGCTGATGAAAGAAGTTGAAGGAAACACAAACAGATGGAAAGATATATCATGTTCTTGGACTGGAAGAGTCAATATTGTCAAAATGACTATACCACCCAAGGCAATGTACAGATTCATTGCACTCCCATCAGACTCCCAATGGCGTTTATCACAGAACTAGAGCAAAAAAATTTTAATTTATACGGAAACACAAAAAGACCTCAAACAACCAAAGAAGTCTTGAGAAAGACAGATGGAATTGGATGAATCAGACTCCAACCTCAGACGATACTACAGAGCTCCAGTGTTCACATATATTGTTTTGTTCATCAGTGCACTTAATTGACATTCATAAGATGCCTACTGTGTGCCCATACTTAGTGAGCACCTCCTATGGGCCAGAGCACTGCCACATCACTCATTCACTGAACATATGTTTATTGAACACCTACTGTGTGTCAGGACCCTGTTCTAGGCACAGGGGTAGAGTAGTGAATGCAACAGACGAAAACACTTATCCTCCTGTAGTTCTTATTTCTGCATCATTGCCAGGTTGACCTGGTTTCCTCCCATGATACAGCTGAAGAAACTGAGGCCTAGAGAAGTTAGGTGACTGTCCCAAGGCCAGCAGGTGGCAGAAGCAAACTAGACTCCAAGGGAAAGATGTCACCTGGGCAAGGTGACATCAAAGAGACAGTGTATCACAGTAGAGTCCAGAGAAAGTTCCCAGAGAAGGGTGCTGCCTGCCGAGGGGTTGGAACCCCACCTCTGCCACTCCCAACTGTGTGTGCTTGCCGTGGCCACTCCGCCTCACTGTGCCCAGAGCCACAACCGCTACCCCCAGGGTGGCCCTCGAGGTTATAATGGACGTGGTGGTCAGCTCCGTGCAGGCAGGCGGCCCATCTGCTTGTTCTGGACTGTATCCATGTGCAGAGAACCTGGCACACAGTAGGTGCTTGGCCAGGGGCAACCGTTAGGGGCCCAGCCTGGCCCCCGTGCAGCTGGATGACCAAGAACCTACCTGCAGGCTCCTTATCACACAGGTATGTGAGAAGCCTCTTCCTCTTTGGACAGACCAGGGGGCAGGTGCAGAAGTTCCCACCATGTTTCTGGAGTCCCTTCTTAGAGATCACAGTACCCTGTCTAGCTCGTGTCCACACCCATCTCCCAGTGGCTCAGAGCACCTCCTATCCATCACCTCTTGCCCTGGCCAAGGCTGTGGGAGGCAGGCACAGTGACATCTTGATTAGCCGCCATCCATCCATCATGCGATGCCAGTGGAAGGTTGCTGCATCTGAGCTGAGTTGTCCCAGGAGGACAGCTGTGGGGAAATGAGTCTTCCCAGGGTGTGTCTGAAGTGTCCAGAGCCAGGGCAGGAACGGAGAGTATCACCCCGCCCCAGGCAGCAGAGCTAGGACTCTCACCCTGACACCTGCAAGAGGGCGTCTGAATTCAGATTCAGTTCTGTGGTCCCCACACAGAAAGGAGGGGACACAACACACTTCTCCCTTGGAGTGGCAGAGCAGACAGGAAGTAGAAAAAGATGCTGCAGAGATGGGGTGGATTTCTGAATGCTAAACCCAGGAGGCAGCAGTCAGCCAAGACAAGGCATCTTTCTTTCCTTCTCCTGCCGCCCCTCCCCATCTCTCCTCCAGCCCTTCTCTCTCTACCCTCACTCGTACTCCTCACCCCGTCCCCACCCTCCTCCCCGCCCCCGCTGAAGTCTACACTACTGGGCCTGTGTTCTAGTTTGAAGCCCACCAGCTGAGACTCTGGAGGCACCAGCCAGACCACTGCAGAAGGTGGGACCCCACCTACCCCAGCCCCATGACACCGACCCTTGGGCCCCTGGGCGGAGCTCTGAGATCAGCATCTAGTGACAGCCAGGTGGGTCCCACGTGGCTTTGTGGATATTGCCCTTGGTTCCCACTGGGCGAGCCTGTGTCCTCTGGGCTCGGGCACCAGCACACACTGGCTGCACTCTCAAGGGGAGCTGGGGCCAGTGGGATGGCGCAGTCCCAGGAGATTCAGCGGCAGGTGCCCCGGGTGCTGCCATCCCCACGTGGCAGGCGGCGGCGGAGACCGAGTGCCCAGGACACATTCATCACGCCTGCCTCCCTTCAGAGCCAAGACAGGACGGAAATGACTTTTGTCAGCTCTGCAGCAGCCCACTGCCCCTGGCAGCTCCAAGCTGTTTATTAAAAAAAGAGAGAGAGAAAGAAAGGGATGTGAATGTGCCACCTTGCCGTGTATGAGGGGAGCGGCTCCAAAGGGATGATGTTGACAAACAGCCCTGCAGGTGATCACACCGCAGCGCTCCAGCTCCCTGCCTGGCCCATGTCTAGCCGCGATGGAAATGGAAGGTGACGGGCAAGAAAGGGCGGGGAGCAGCTGCTCTGGACAAACGGCGTGGCTTTTGTTGGAGCCTTTCCCGGGAGCGATGAGACGCCGGGTCTCCCACCCGTGCACTGTCCTGTCCATCCTCCTGGGACCTCCTGTGAGGCTTTCATGGAGCACCGTAGGGGGGTGAGGCTCCAGAGAGCCAGAGGTAATCAGTAGTAATCGTAATGAGCACTAATGGCTAATTATTGATGATTAATAGCCATTGATTATTGATTATTAATCACTCAGCATAATTGTTAAGCATTATTTGAGGAGCCAGGTGCCAGGCACTAGGTCCAGGGCTGGTTCCACGATTCCAGCCTTTATGTGTAGGTTCTGACTCCTCTGTACTCATTCTCCTGGTGACAGAGCCACAGCGGAGACCTGCATTCAACACCCCACCCCCACCTCAGGCTGAGCCTGGCCCCGGCCCCCAGGCCCACACTGACCCCAGGCCCACACTGACATTTCACACCCCTTTTTGCTTTTTGTAAATTACAACTTTGCTGGTGGGTGAGAAGGAGGTGGTTTGTCTTACAGGGAGGACAAATAGATTTTGTTTGTTAAAGGACCGGTTGATGGACTCCAGTCTCTAGCTTTTAAGGCCCACCCTTCACTTTACAGTCTGATTTGGTCTCACTGCCAAGATTTCCGCTTCTCAGAGGCAGAGCAGTGTTGGCTGCAGCTGCGAGATGCCTCTGCCTGGCAGTCCCAGAATAGAAGGCGTCTGTCCTCTCTCCTGTGTAGTGTTGGTTTCAAGTTGATTTCATGTAAATTTTTCCCTTTTGAAGGAACTTTTTTTTTTCCTTTCCCCTGCCCACCCTCCTTCCATGAAACAGTCGGGAACCTCACAGCACCTCATTCAGAGGCATGTTCGGGTCCCTGGCTCTCCCGAGCTCTGCTCTGTGGGGTTGTCCTCCGGGCTTGACCCTAAATAAGAAAATAACCTCCCGTTGGTCCCCCTTAAGTCTTCAAGAAGCAAATTAACTGTTTCCCAGCGGGCTGTGGGATGGTAGGTCCTTCATGTCCTATGTGGTGCGTTGTCCGTCTAAGTCATCCATCAGAGCTGCAGTTTTAATCTGCTCAAATGTATTTAGCTGGGTTTAATTATAGACAGAAATTGCATTTCAGAAAGCAATGAGAAATCACTTGTGGCTGGAATTTGCCCATTAGAGCACGTGGTTCGTTGGAGAGTGCGGCGGGGACGGAGCGCGTTTCCAAAGTGAAACAGGATTAGCGCCCGCGCTCCAGAACCGATGGCACGGATAGTAGGGCTGGCACAGTGTGCGCTGACCATGCTTCTATTCTTGGCGCAGGACCCACGAGGAGGCCGGCGATAGGGCCCGGGACGTCCGCAGCAGGACCTCGGGGGACAAGGCCATGTCCCCGCTCTCCCGCCGCCGGGGAACGTACGGCCACTTTGGAGATGGCGAAGAGTGCGGCATCCAGAGAAAGGCCCCCGAGAGGCCGGGAGCACCACCCTCCCCGTCTTCCCAGAGTGGAGATGCGTCCCCGCTACCGCGGGACAAGCTGCCCAGCCCGTCGGCCGCCCTGTCGGAGTTCGTGGAAGGGCTCCGGAGGCAGAGAGCGCAAAGAGGGCGGGGGTCGCCACTGGGCCTGGAGGACTGGCCCACGCTCCCCATCTACCAGACCACTGGGGCGTCCACGCTGAGGAGGGCCCGGGCGGGCAGCGACGAGGGCGCCCTGGCGCTGAGAGCCAGGGCCGGCTCACCCCTGGATGTGTCGGCCGGTCTCCCACGGTCCACCAGCCTCAAGTGCATCTCCTCGCAGAGCGTGGGGAGCCCCAGCCCGCCCCCCGAGAAGTTGAAGACCCGCTTCAGCTCCTGCGAGTCCCTCCTGGAGTCGGGCCCCAGCTCGCGGAGGACGCCCAGCTCCCCGGGGGCTGCGCGCAGGGACCCGCTCTGGTCGCCCACGCTGCGACCGCGGAGGCGCTGTCTGGAATCCTCGGTGGACGATGCGGGCTGTCCGGACCTCGGCAAGGAGCCTCTCGTCTTCCAGAACCGCCAGTTCGCGCACCTGATGGGGGACCCCCTGGGCAGCGACCCGTTCAGCTGGAAGGTCCCAAGCCTCAACTACGAACGCAAGACCAAAGTGGATTTCGATGACTTCCTACCAGCCATCCGGAAGCCCGAGACGCCCACATCCTTGGCCCGAGCGGCCAAAGATGGGCGAGACAGTTCACAGCATTCGAGCGTCCGCTTTGCGACAGAAGAGGCCGACCGGGGCCTTGTCTCCGGGATCGGCACCGTTTTGAAAAGGAGTCCGGAGTCCAGGGAGGACCCCGCTCACCTCTCCGACTCATCGTCCTCCTCCAGCTCCATCGTGTCCTTCAAAAGCGCCGACAGCATCAAGAGTCGGCCGAGAGCCCCCAGGCTGGAGGGCGACGGCGGCGAGCAGGCATCCCCCGAGAACAGAGAGCAGGGCGCAGGGAGGAAAGAGGAGGACGTGGAGAGCATCATGAAGAAGTACCTGCAGAAGTAGGAAGCGACTCAGGTAACAGCGCCGGGCGGGCCGGCCCTCCGGGGGGATGAAACCAGAGGTCCACTTAGTCTGACAGCCTGGACGCAACCAGGTGCTGCCACTGCCAGTAATGGTGCTCATTTCTCTAGAGAGGAGGGGTTTTAGAGATTTTTCGAAATACTGTGTTACTATTTATGCACTGTGTTACTATTTATGCACTATTTATGCAAATAGTGTTGCTGATAGAGGCACAACTTAGAAGCCCTCCCTAGGAGCCACTGGATTCTCTGCTCCTTAAAATACAGCTAGGAAGTCTGAGGGTCCGGTGGGGTGGGGTGGGCAGATGCTGTAAGGTGGCCCCAGCTCTTAAAGTCTCCCAATCCTTGACTCGCTGTGCGAGCCGAGAAGGCGTCTGTCCACACAGTGAGGGAAGAGCCCGGGTGGGAGGTGGGGAGAGGAGTTGACACCTGCAAAGTCCAGCCCTTGCACTAAGTGTGTAAAGAGAAACTGGGGCCTGAGAAGGGGGCGGGGGGACAAGTGCAGAGGTCCCGGTCTGCGCCTGGTCCTGGCACTTCGCAGCAGCGGCAGGAAGACGTCCTCACTGCTAGCAGCGGCTCACGTTTGTTGAGTTTGTTTATCAGGTGGTCATTTGGTGCCCACGGTACCGCCGAGAGTGTAAGTATGATTTATCCCTGTCCTACAGGTTGGCAGACAGAATCACACAGGTTAAGTCTCTTGTACAGACTCACCCAGGCAGAACTGGGACTCGAAACTCCACAGAGCCCGCATTTTTTTGGTGTTGACTTTTCTCAGGCATGTGCTCCAGGCCTGTTTGTGAGTCAGCTCAGAGGCACGCTGACGGAGCTGGGTCTTTAAAGGGGTGGCCTCTATCAAGGGCAAACCGAGGCAGACCTCAGAATCATACATCTCACTGGGGGCTGGAACTCATGGAAAAGGGGGAGAAGACCTCAAGATCAAGGTCACCCAGTGAGTCTGCCACCCGCCCAGCCACACTGACTCCCCAGTCAGGTGCTCATTGCCCCGAGGCCAGGCTGACCCCTCACTGCCCCTCTCGGGACATGTTTCAGAATTCATGGCTCCCCACTGAAATGGGAAGCCCCATCAGGCCGGCCGGGAGGAGTCAGCGCCTCCCTCCGGGGTCAGGCACGATGCCAACCTACAGCCCAGTTGCCATCTCCGAGTCACTGAACGTTGGAACTGCAGCAGCCAGAGGCTCAGGTGGTCGAGTGGCCCCACGTGGTGCTCAGCCCACACCTGCCTCCTTCCTGGACCCAAACGAGCCACACGTCCTGCCACTTCGGGAGTCACCCTCAGCCCGTCAAAAAGCCATTGTGAAGATGGGCTTTGGATGGTATCAGAGCAAATTAATTTGACTTAACATGGCCTCTCTCTCTGCTCTCAATTACGAAGGAAAGATCTGATGTTCATTTACATTATTATGCTCTCGGGGACACAGAACTCGGTTTCAAAGGCCAAGTAAAGGGCACACGTCCAGAAGCGGAGCAGCCCTTAGCAGACATCCTCACAGAACATCTTGTCTCTGCCATTTTTTTTTTCTTTTTAAAGCTCAGCTCCTCTTCCCCGCTCCCAGCAATGCTCTCTGTGATAATGGAGCGCCTGCCTAAAACCCTCCTCCACTCTGACTTGCACGCGGGTGTTGGGAGCTGACGGTACAGCCCTGTTGCCTGAGACGCAAGTGTGTTTTAGGATTCGGAACCACTCCGCCCCCAGAGCTCAGGTCTTCCCTGTAACACCCACGTGATGAGACCTTGCTGAGCGTCTGTGTCTCGGCTGGAAAATGGGAGTAGTGACCCCAACTACCCTCAGTAACACTGTGAGTGGGACGCCAGTGAAAGACCCCAGCCCAGAGCCAGCACCCTCTGGCCGAGGTGCGTGTCAGGTACCTGCACTCGGAAGTGCTGGCCCTTCCGCATCTGTGTCTCGGGCGCCCTCCACTTGTTTCCCTTCTGCCCCCCGCTCCATGCTCATGCCTCCTGGCATCATTGCTTCTGTAATGCTACCTGGGAATGTGGCCTCAGGGCTTCCACCCAACAAAACACACTCCTCGGGCCCCAGTTCTCAGCTCTGATCTGCATTTGTTTCCAGCTTCCTGGGACACACTGCCCTTGAAGACTTCCCGATTCCACAACTGTCCGGAGAAAGAGACAAAGACTGGCCAGGCCTCCCTGGGGGCCCCAGGTCCACAGCCAGTGTGGCTGCCCTCGAGAGGCCAGGGGGCCCAGCCTCGGCACATCCCGAGGGGTGTAGGGCTCCCAGCGTGCTAGGTCTGTACCCAATAAAGCATTGGCTCCTTGGAATCTGCGCTGTCTCTCTGTTCTATGGTCACATTACCTGGGACTCTGGAGGGCTGATGGGGTGCAGCTTGAGGTAGTAGGGAACCAACACAAACTGTTTATAGTTTTGGGTGCATACTGGTGTTTCTGTCCCTCCATATTTACACACAGTGGCCTTGATCCTCTTCACTTGGCCAAGTTCAGCCCTCAGGTGTCACCTCCTCCGGGAAGTCTTCCCTGATACATCAAACTCATCAAATTGAAACAAATGCTGTTTCTTCATTCTTCTCTAATTCCCTTGCTTACCTCTATCCTATTTCCCTTGTCTATTTATGTGTCTCCATTGTGTGTATGGGCATTCAAGAAATTCTGATGAACTAATAAATGAACAAACGGACAAACCACAGAACTAGTCAGTAGCTCAGACAGCCTGAGTGCCCGTGGCACATTGACGTATGTGCATCCCTGCAGATGTCCGCCTTAGCAGCACTCACAGGCTGTGACCTCTGCTCTCACGGCCCGTACTCCTCCTCACGTACTCATCTGACCGCCCACACACGACGCTGCACTTGTACCAGAAACTACACTCGCACAGGCGCACTTCCCGCCCGGACACCTGCTTTTCCAAGCATCCTCGCAGTGTTAGTAATGCTAAAGCTGTAGGCTGATGCTTACTAACCACATACTGTGTGCTGGCCACGGTGCTGGACATTTTACACGGTGAATCTCCCTTCTGCTTTATAAAAAGTCCCAAGAGAGAAAGCAGCTTTTTTTTTTTTTTTTCTATTCACAAAGGCAGAACGAGCTTATGCCTGCCTTCAGGTGACCAGTGCCACTGCTCCGTAAGTTCTCAGTGTCATATACTCCACGCCCAACCCTACGTGTGTCTCTATTCTTAGGATGACTCTAGTGCAGCCCATCACAGCTCTCATCAGAAAGGAAAGTCCTCTTAGGATCCCCCACGTTTTAGTCTGCTGTAACAAAGCCCCTCAAACTGGGTGGTCCAAACAACAGAGACTCACTGTCTTGAAGTTCTAGAGGCCAGAAGTCTGAAATCAAGGTGCTGGCAGGGCTGGTTCCTTCAGAATATCTTAAAGGACTCACTCTTGGTTTGTACGTGGCCATCTTCCTTGGGTGTATGTCCATATCTGTGTCTCAGTGTCTTTTATGAGGACACCAGTCATATAGTAGGCCTCACTCTGACTTCTAACTGATTACCCGTGCAGAGACCTTATCCCCACATAAAGTCACATTCTGAGCTACTGGGGGTTAGGGTATCTGGGGTGGAGGTGAGGAGCAGGAGACACAATTCAAGCCCTAACAACTTGCCAGCTAGCACTCAGTCCGAGATGGGGAGATCTCTGCCTATCCTCACAGGGGGCTCTGGGTACAAGTGGGAAAGAGGAGAGATGGGGCAGGAGGGAAACTGACCAGACAGCCTCCTGGGAGACCTTGACATCGTCCCGTCTCTCTGGGGGAGCTTTCCGTGGAAGAGTGAACTGTGCTTTCTGGGATGCCGCGCGTCTCCCGCTTGGTGAGTCTGTAGACAAATATTAACACATCGTATATTTATATACATTTAAGGAGCATCCTTCACCAGCCTGCCTCACAGGAGTGGCCCCAGCTCACCAGAGAGAGCTAGGGGCAGGCAGAGGGAATGTCTGAGATCTCCGCAGGGAATCAGAGGCCCTGGCCAGGAAGAGGGTGCAGCTCCGAAGCTCGTGACGTGTGGGTGTGAGGGGCCAGAATGGGAGTAGACAGGGCCTGGCGTCCTCCTCCAGTAGAACCCATGGAACCTTGGGAAAGCCACTCCCCTAAGTGGGCCTGTTCCCGCGTCTCTGCTGGGGTTGAGAAATGGACAAGTGTTGCAGGCTGTACTAGTTTGCTAGAGCTGCTATAACAAAATACCACAGGCTGGTGTGGGGCGAGCGGGGTGTGGACAGCAGGAATTTATCTTCTCGAAGTTCTGGAGGCTGGCCTCCACGATCAAGGAGTCGGCAGGTCTGGCTGCTGAGGCCTCGTTCCTTGGCTTGCCAATGGCCACTGCCTCGCTGTGTCCTAACACGTCCTTTCCTCTGTGCCCACGCATCCCTGGTATCTCTCTGTGTCCATATCTCCTCCTCTCATAAAGGACCCGTTTCCCTGGTGACTCAGCTGGTAAAGAATCCACCTGCAGTGCAGGAGAACTGGGTTCGATCCCTGGGTTGGGCAGATCGCCTGGAGAAGGGAAAGGCTACCTACTCCAGTATTCTGGCCTGGAGAATTCTACAGACTGGATAGTCCATGGTGTTGCAAAGAGTTGGACATGACTGAGCAACTTTGAGTTCACCTCACTTCAAAAAGGACCCCAGTCAGAGTGGATCAGGGACCAGCCTCAAGGCCTCACTTGATCTTAGTCACGACTTTAAAGGCCCCTTCTCCAAATGCAGCCACCTTCTGAGGTTATGGGTATTATGACTTCAACATATGAATTGTGTAGAGATCACAACTGAGCCCATAGTGCATGCTATGCCAAAGAAGGTGGCGAGTTTGTTTATTAATTAGTTTATTAATAATAACCATTATTACTCATGTATCAAGTGCATAAATATGTCCCAAGCACCCAGCTTGGTGCCCAGACAAAAGCAACTGTGGAAATCCGGAATAAAGGTTCACCCAGCCTTCCTGGCATTGGAGTCTTGCAGACATTTTAAGGCCTGGAACCTATGAGTGCTGCTCTTCCCGTGCCAGCAGGATTGCTTATCCAGCCGGTATCTGCCAAGCACCTGCTGCTCGGCGCTGGGCACCGTTCCCCACACGGGGGATCCGTGGGGAGCAGGTGGACCCCCCTGCTTTCCTGGGGGTAGCATCCTCCAGACATTTTAAGGCCTGGAGCCTATGAGTGCTGCTCTTCCCGTGCCAGCAGGATTGCTTATCCAGCCGGTATCTGCCAAGCACCTGCTGCTCGGCGCTGGGCACCGTTCCCCACACGGGGGATCCGTGGGGAGCAGGTGGACCCCCCAGCCTTCCTGGCATTGGAGTCTTGCAGACATTTTAAGGCCTGGAGCCTATGAGTGCTGCTCTTCCCGTGCCAGCAGGATTGCTTATCCAGCCGGTATCTGCCAAGCACCTGCTGCTCGGCGCCGGGCACCATTCCCCACACGGGGGATCCGTGGGGAGCAGGTGGACCCCCCTGCTTTCCTGGGGGTAGCATCCTCACTGGGGAGACAGACAACGAGCGAGAAAACAAATCTGTTGTCAGAAAGCAAGAAACGCCGTAAAGGAAAATAAAGATGAAATTGTCTCGTGAGTTTCCTGTTTCAGAGTGTTCTGGCTGTTGATTTTACGAAGTTGTTCAGTCGATAAGTCGTGTCCGACTCCTTGTGACCCCATGGACTACAGCCCACCAAGCTCCTCTGTCCTCCACTGTCTTCTAGAGAGTTTGCTCAAATTCATGTCCACTGAATGCTTTCACAAAGTACCTTTTTGTAAAGGAAGAAAGCCGTCATTTTTCTTCAGTGATGTGTGAGTAGTGTGTTCAAAAATGTTAACCCCAAGTCACAACAGTGACGCTTTCCTCAGCGTGCAGCAGGAAACAGAAATCCCGAAGATGCTAGTCAGAAGTCAGTCCCACACCCTAGAGGATAGCCACTGCCCGCCCTGCCTCTCGAATCCCCCAGCGCAGCACAGCCTGAAACAGGAGGTGCTGAGCCAGCTGGGTCCTCCCCGCTGCTGACTGATTCTAGAAATTCCAGCGTGGCTCCTGCCCCGGCAAGCTCAGCCCAGGCCCCAGCGCAGTAAGCACTGTGCAAGCCTTCACTTCTCCGACCTCTGCTCCCGGGGTAACTGAATGGCTCATAACCTGGGCTCTGCCTCCTCCCTGCCTGACCTCGGTCAGCTCACCTCCTTCTGGGCCCTCCTTTACTCCTCTGTGTAATGGGTCTAGAACTGGTCCCAGCCTCCCAGCCTCCTGTGGAAAATCAAACGCTCAGAGAGCACCCGGCCCTGAGCCTGGCACACAGCCCGCAGTCCACAGTAGCAGTGCTGATCATTGGGCTCAGAACCGCTTCCCCCGCCCATCCCGCCCCGGTGCCCAACTCAGAGGCGCCATCTGCACGGCCGGGCCCCGCCTGGCTTTCCTGACGTCACCACCAAGGTCATTTCTAAGCTGAGGGTGTTGAAGGCCCCACATCCCGGAGACTTGAACGGCCGCCCCAAACGTTTCCTCTTGTTTCCAGGCACCAAGGCCATTTTCAGCAGCCTGCCCAGGTCTTTTAAAAAAAAAAAAAAAAGTGGACTCTCAGGACTAGAAGAAAGCCTGGAGGTAATTTTACAGATGAGGAAATGGAGGCTCAGAGAGAGAAAAGATTTGTCCTAAGACAATGGCGGATCTGAGTTCAGAACTCAATTAACATTTTCTGATTTAATAAAAAATGTATTGAACCTTTCTACCACCCTATGTCCAGAGCACCAACGATAAAGCTGGGACCGGGATGGATAGAGGACCTGCCGTGACGTAAACCGTGAAGTTTGCGGTTTACTGGAGAAGGCAGGTAACAAACTGGGAGATAAGCCATCGGCCGGGTGCACTCACCTGAGGCCTACCTGCTCCGGGTCATCCTGCCTCCTGCACCTGCTCCATCGCAGCCCGAGGCCCACCCCATCCCACTCAAGCCAGCAGAGACCCAGCGCCTGTCCCAGTTGCCCTGGATGTCTGCACAGTTCAGTGAGACAGATGCTAGGCAGCAGGCCTGGTGACAAGGTGAGGTGGTGACTTTGTCACCCTTTGTTAAGAGCCATCGACGCCCCCACTCCCTCTGTGTCTGCAAGGAGCCCGCAGCTATGCTGGGCGGTACTTAGACATCACTGCTAAGGAGCGGGTGATGAGCGCCTGCTGCCCTGTCCATCACCCCGCGCCCTTCTACACCTGCAAGAAAACATCTTAAATGACTCAAAACGCTGCTTTGTAACTAGCTGCAGGAAGACTCGGTAGCCCTAGGCAAAATCCTGCTCAGAGCCCAGGCCTTCTGCGTGTGGAGCTCAGAGCAGT